ATCGTTAAAGTAGCATAACATAAAAATTGCAACAAATGCGAACAAAAAAAAAATAAATAAATAAAACAAAAAAATCTGGCCAAGGAACTCTGTTTATTGCCAACAAATTGTCTAGAGTATAAAGCACATATATGTTAGAGGGTGAGGGGTTTAGCAAGTTGTACAATTCGGCAAAATGAAGTTTTGCCAACAACCAACTAACACCAACCAATCAATTATCCATAATTGCAACAAACCAACCGACCGATGAAAACACCACCAACAACAAAGACACATATTTCAAAACAGTTTTGTTGTTATTTTTTATTAGATTTCTTATAATGGTTTCTTGAAAAAAAATTTTGATGAAATAACTCGAATGAAAAAAATACGAAATATTTTTTTGTATTAGATTTCAGCATAGTTTTTTTATGGTTCTATTGTTGAATTCGAAAAAATGGATTGCAAAAAAAAAACCAATGCTAGAAAATTTTTGTTTCCAATTTCAGGTGTTTTCTGTTTTTGCTGGAATATTTAAGTCAGCTGCCATATAAAGCATATATATTTATATGACCTTGTAAATAGTTCAGTATGTGGCATGAATTTAGTTGCAATACAGAGAGAGATATTTATCTAATTTTATACCTTTTATAAATAATTTTCCATCTTCTGATAACATAACCTCAAATAAAAACGAAAAATCCCATCTCTTTTACATTGTATAACCTTCTAAAGATGACTATATAATATTTTTTATATAATAAATAAATCCCATTCAATAATTGAACCGCAACACACGCTCGCACAAGACAATGTCTCAGCATTATTTCTGTAACAATTACTAACCTTAAACGTTTTGGGTGTTGTTATATGCGTATTTTTTTCAAACAGTCATTGTGGGGGTACTGACTGACTGGCCTGCATCCATTCAATTATTCATTCATGTTCAGTTCAGTCACTACTTTTGATCACTCATTTTTTCTATTTTTGAACTTTTAATAATCCATAGCTTTGAAAATTGTAATCAATTTGATACGCTTGATATTATAATTTTCAAACTCCACAAAAAAGTTACCAAAATATTTTGATGCCTCTCTTTCAAAATTGATATTTGTAGCCGGGTAACTGTAACAATACCAGTAACTACAAATTGGTAATTTGTGAACGGAAGTGCAGTCGGTACCACAACGGATAGTTCAGAAGTGGTGTCGTGGGTATTTTGCTGTTTAGGAAATACACTCAAGGAAAAATGTTAGTTAGATTGTAAAACTAATTTTGTATTTAAAAGGGTATTAATTTTTTTCAATTATTTTTTTTTCGATATTCAATATAGTCCTTTAAAGAAGACTTTTTATGGATGTTTATACAAAGATTTGTGGACATCCGCTTTTACAGATCTTCCCTACACAGGTCTTCTATAAACTGGAGATCTTCACCTGCTTTGAAAATAAGACTTTCTTTATATGTTTTTAGGTAGAATATCTTCCACTGGTCATTTATAAACGAACGAACATTTACAGATCTACCTATAGGAAACATAACCTCTACAGGACTTCTATTAACCAACGAAATAACGTCTAGAAACCTTTTATGGGCAGAACACCAGGGTGAAAGTGTGGACTTTCATAAATATTTTTTCATTAGTCAAATAAACCAAAATTAAGGTAGATTTAAAACCAGTGAGCGGAGCAGACGGGGCCGACCATATGATACCCTACACAACTTCCATGAAAATCTAACTTTCTGTGTTTCTATATTCTGAGATTGGGCAATATTTGCACACTTTTGACTGGCTAGAGATCAGAAAATTTTACTAATAATCAGTACAGCCCCTCTAATTACTTGTCCAGATTCCCTTCACCGTGGGTTGTTTGGCTTTCGACTCGAAAAGTACAAATTATTAAGTTTTTGGTCCACTTCATCCGAAAATTATTATCTGATTATCACCTCACATTTTAGGCGTTGTCCTTGACCATAACTGGAACCTCATGGAACATTTCAAAGCGATCAGGCTATATATCCGTCCTAAAGTGGAGTAATAGGTTACTAAATATTTAAGTATAACTCCCGCATCCGAGTACCTACGACAATATGATTGGTATCAATTTAAAGGTCAACCACTCCTCTTGGATATACTATGAAATTCTCAGGTATATGTCCTTCAGAAGTAATATAAACCGACAAAAATTAAATATTTGGTCCATTTCATCCCCTAAATATTAACCGATCTTTACCAAAAACAATAGGAGTCTTCATTGGCCAGAATCCATCCTACATGCAAAATTTTGTGAAGATACAGACGGACGGACACACATGTCTAGATCGACTCAGCTAGTCGAGATATGATGATCGGTATACTTAAAGGTGGGTCTAGGACCAATATTTTGCGGCGTTACAAACTTTTGGGGCTGCACAAAGCTATAATACCCTGACAACATAGTTGTGTAGGGTATACAAATCATGAACCAACATTAGTTAGGATTTTTCAAATATATTTGCCAAGAGCCAATATTGGCTTGATTCTTTAAATATCGATATGGATTAAAATCGATCGATTACACAGGACATCCTCTACAGGTCTTCTATACACAGCCGATCTCCATCTGTTATAGGCAGAATACCTTCTGAAAACAGAGATACTTTTATATATCACCTATAGATTGAAGATCCTTAGGATTTCATTTCTAAACAGAAGATCTTCGCGTTATCTTTTGAATAAAGGAGAACTTCTACAAGCATTTTATGGGCAGAACACCTACTACAGGTTTTTTTTATTGTCAAGGAAGATTTCACAGGACTTCTATAAACAAAGGACCTGCTACAAGTATTCTATAAACAGAAAGACTTTTTTCTATAGACAGAAGTGATATAGACAGAAAAACTTTTATATAGAGAAAATATTCTATACAACTTCAAATTTTCCATCGACAGAAAATCTTCAGGACAGAAAACTACCTCCAGGTCTTCTATAGACGTAAGACCTCCTGTAGGACTATTATAAACTGCAGCCAGATTGAAAATTTTCAACAGATTTTTTTTTTAGACAACAGATATTTTTAGACCTTCTATAACTAAAATCATCTGTGCATAGAAAATTTGAAAATACAGGATCGCGTTTTTTCACAGGTGGAATTGATGGCGTCATCCGCTGTGCAGCCCTGAGTTAGCACACAATAATCGCTTGAGTAACGTAAAATAATCAATTTTGATTGGTACATCAAAAAAGACAATAAATCATTGCGTATTATGACAATAAAGAAAAAATCTATTATTGTTGACAAAAATTCACCTTTTAGACCAAGTATATATGAGTGGCGCCCAACGAGGTATGAACTCGCCTTTTTATGATTCCAAATTCGAAGGAATTTTGTGTATATTGGATATAGTGAGAGTTAAATACATTTATTGTATATTTCGCAAATTATTGATAATGTGAACATACAACATTTGGCGCCCAACGTGGGGCTCAACTCAAATTTTAACTTTTCTTAAATTTGTAATATTTTAATATTTTCATTAAATTATCTAATGTTTTATGCTAAAGAATATGTATTTTTTATTTATGAAAATGGCGCCCAATGGTTGGGTTTGAAAATTAATCAAAATAAAATTATGCCTAATAAAATATTTTAATATTATCATTCAATTATTCAATATTTTATGCTAAAGAATATGTATTTTAGATTTATGAAAATGGCGCCCAATGTGGGTTTCAACATTGATCATAATAAAATGCACGGTTAATGTTTTTCTGCCATTATGTGCTGTTAAAATTCGAAAAACATGTTTTGGAGATGTCTCAATGGAAATGGAAATAATAGTTCGACAATGGTTGAGCGTATAAAAATTTTATAAAATATGCTGTATATTGTTTTGAAGAACAATAATACCAACATTACAAATATTCGCATTTTCATTATTAGGCCAGAAATATATAGTGGAGGCCTCCGAGTGGAGAACTCCAGATGATAGAAAGTCTTTATAGGACTTCTAATAACTAATAAAATTCTTTCTCCATCTCATCTATAATTCAGTCATTTGCTATTGCTAGAAAATCTCTTATAGATCTGTTATAACTTCAGACTGAGCTTATCTTCAGAAATTTGAACAAACATTTGTCTTTGAGTGTATCAGCATCTATATTATGACATATGACAACGGACACAACAATCGAATGACCCACATTAATCGCCAGGGCAATTAATCAGTTATTTATTATATTTGACATAGTTTTTACACCAAAATTGATTTAATTTCTGTTGTTTTTTTTCTAATTATATCTACTATAAATTGTTAAATAATTGTCTCACCCAACTGAAGTCATTGAATTTAATTTAAAAAAATATATAGATATACTAGAAAAAAAAACCAAAACAAATATTATGCAATTATTAGCTTCACATGTGAGCTGCTGTTGTTTTATAATAATTTACCGAACAGTTTGCTTTGCTATATTTTTTTATTTTATTATTACTGCTTCTTTCTTAATCAACAATTATATTTACAGAAATTGTATTACAAAAAATAATAGCGGTTTATTTTTCTAATAATGGTGTGTATTTTTTTTTCATTTCAGATGCCAAGATATCGTCAATTTGTATTATTTGTAACTAAAATGCTTCATTAGCGTTTTATTGGCAAGACAATACAGTCTTGTTTTTTAAAAATAAGGAAACAAGAAGCGAAGCGGCTTCCCGATATTACATCCGAATCATTAACATCATAATTATTTTCATCATCGAAGACTACGACGCGAACAAAATATCATTGTCCTCCACCTCCTCCTCCTCATTAATAATAGCAGTAGTAGTATTGACAATTTTAATTAGTTGCAACACCAGTATAACCACACCTATCCGTTATAGTCATCAGCCATATAGAAAACCGTTGTTGAATTGTATCTCGGATATTCAACCACAAGTGATAAGTTTATTAATTAACGCATTAAACTGCAAGAAAAAAAGCCCCACTACACTTCCACCGCCTGCTTTGTCATATTACCAAAATTAAATTTCCCCAACATGCCATATTTCCCCAATATCAGTAAAATGAGCAACAAAATGAGCAGCAACACATCTTTGGATAACACATCCGATCAGGATTATAGTGAATTTCTAAATGAGTATTTGTTGCAGACCCACTCGCCGCACAATGAACCGGAAACTCATTATGAAGGTAAGTAAACAACAAAGTCCTGCTCTTTACAGGCAATAAAAACAAAGTTTCATTTTCATTAATTTCTTTGTCACTTCTTGTTTTTTCTTTCAGAGGGTGAATTTGAGGCTGAGTGGCTAATTGCTGCCGGTTTTCCACAATTAACCAAACCATTTGAACAGGTATGTGTAATAAAATGACAATTATTTTTCGTTTTTTTAATTTTTTTTTTTGGGTACTAAAATTCAAATAAATGCATGCCGTACCGAACATTAACACCATTAGATTTGCGCGGTTTCCTACGATATTGTACGATAAAGAAACTAATATGACAGATATTTTTTATAGACCCATTAGATGCATGCAGTAGTTTTTATTTTCCAAAAAAAAGTAGTGGACATTAACAGTTTTTCCTAACACACTCTTATTGGAATTTGACATGACGCATCAGGTCATGCTAATAATGGAGAATAAATCTAAATTTTATGTTTTACGTCTAATTAGTCATAATTTGAATCGGATTGTTTGGGATACTTTTTACGACTGCAAATCGACTGTGACAACACTTTTTCTATTAATGGTTATTTTTTTAAGTAATCAGACTCAACATGGAATGGAGATATAGTTCTCCCGCCTTATATGCTAATAAACCTCCCAACTCTCGAGAGAAGATTTTTCAGGCTGAGACATGCAGAAAAGTCAAATAATAAATTAATTAATGCAATGGCGGAATTTACTAGTTGAAAGGAAATATTATGCTCTGACTCCATTTTCTTCTCGTTCGTCTAATTCCTTTTATTCCCTCTAGCTCATCTGACGTTCATTTCCCTCTCGCTCATCTAGTTCATTTTCTTTTAATCGTTAATTTTTCTTGTTGTTCAACTAGAGGAGTTCCATCAGTTCATTTTTTTTTTTTTGAGCATGTGAGGAATGATCGCAACTGTGTCCGGTTCTTTGGTCAACTAGTTCCTTTTGCTCTAGTCGTTAATTTTCCTCTTGTTCGTCCTTTTGTTCTCTCTCGCTCATCTGACGTTCATTTTCCTCTCGCTCATCTAGTTCATTTTCTTTTAATCGTTAATTTTTCTTGTTGTTCAACTAGATCTCCTCGTTCATTTAGTTCCAACAGTTTATATAGTTCCATCAGTTCATTTTTTTGAGCATGTGAGGTACGTTGCCAATGAACGATTGAACTAAATGAATGAAGTAGTTCCTTCTGGAGAACGAATCGGAAAATATTCGGCAGTACATTGTACGGTTTGACTTAAGACCATGTTTGGTGTTTTTTTCTGTAAAATGAAGATTTTGTCATTGCATTATGTAGTAGTAGGTTGTTCATAGTTCCATCGGTTCACTCCTATAGACATACGTGCCCCAACCTTTGTAAATACCGAATTATTGGGTCAATATTGATATTGTTGGAAGAAGATTCTTTAATAAAAAAGAGAGAAAATGATTTTTGACTATAAAAATGTGAATGAAGACCGGATTTCTAATTTTTTTTAAATCGGACATTCAGCCAATAAAAACCCGAAAAATTGGGTCGATATTAATATTTTTTTGATAGGGAGATTATTGACTCAAAAAGAGAAAAATATGATTTTGCACTTAAAAAAAAAATCAATGAAGATAGAACCGGTTTTCTAAATTTTTGAACGGGATATTCAGCTATTGAAACCGTTAATAATCCGGTTAAATAACTGTTAACTTACTAATGCACATACGGTATTAAAACCGGTTTTATTATCTAAATATCCGGTTCAAAAACTAAACAATAAAACAGAAAATTGGATCGATATTAATATTTTTTGATAGGGAGATTTTCTACTCCAAAAGAGAAAAAAACATGATTTTCCTCTCTAAACATTTCGATGAAAATAGAACCGGGTTTCTAAATTTTTGAACCGGGTAATCAGATAATGATACCGTTAACAATCCAGTTTAATAAATTTACCACGTTGTTTTATTATTATTATTATTTTTTTTTTGTAATATGCATATATGGTATTAAAACCGGTTTTATTATCTAACCGGGCTTATTATCTAAATATCCGGTTAAAAAATAAAAAAAACAACGAAAAATTGGGTCTATATATAATATTTTCATGGGATAAAAAAGAGAAAAAAATAATTTTTTCCTAAAAAAAAATTCAGCTAATGAAATAACCTGGTTTAATAATTTTTTGATATGCATAAAGGCTAATAAAACCGTTTTATTATCTTAATATCCGGTTCAAAAATGTTAAAAAGCGGAAAAAAAAACATTTTCACACAAAAAATTTCAATGAAGGTAGAACCGGTTTTCCAAATTTTTGAACCAGATATACAGCTAATGAAACCGTTAATAATCTGGTTTACATTTAGCACATTGGTTTATTAACTTTTAATGATATGCATATATAGGTATTAAAACCGGGTTTATTATCTAAATATCCGGTTCAAAAAAAAAAAAAATAAAAAATTGGGTCAATATTGATAATTTTTTTTGATATGGAGATTTTTTGATGGAGGTAACAAAAAGAGAACAAATGATTTTCCACCAAATTTGACGATAGAAACGGTTTTCAAAATGTTTGAACCGTACATACATTTTTTGAAACCGTTAATAATCCGATTTAATAAACGGGTATCCTATCCGGAAAAATTTTTGAATATAATGAATTTTTACAGAATTTATTGATATATATATATATATATATATATATATATAGGGTTTTAGGTACACGACACGGATACAATTGAGAAATAATACCCTGTACCGCAGTGTGGTGAGGGGTATAAAGACTATTAAAACGTTAAAATGTCGATTTCTCGTAATTGAGGGCCCTACCTAAAATTTTATGACCAAACTTTTTCTACAGTATTGAGAGAAAGAAAAATCGCATTTTGTGATAATTGGAGTCCGGTTCAAAAAATTGAATATGAAAACATCAGGAATCGAGTAAGAAGAACAAAAAATTCTATAAAACAAAATCCTCATTCGATTTTTCTGAAGAAATGTTAATTTAAAAATGCCCAAAAAAGAATCACGAAATATATCCGAGGAAGTGGTTGGATTTTTAAAACATGATTACAGATTCTTGTGACTATGAGTCCTACCGTTCTTTGGAATATTTGGTCGATCTATGACCACCATTTTAATATCTCATTTTTGTCCGGGGGATTTTCTCAATATATTTCAATTATATGTAAAAAACAATCCATTTTTTTACAAATTTTCTTATCACATTTTTATCTTCAATTTAATTTTTTATACCCCCATATTCACATAAAATTTATTTTTTATATATCCACAACAACAATAATTTTAATTAATTTTTTTTTATTACAATAAAAGCACACAAGGCGTTGTTATCACAATTTTGCAAACGATGATTATATCTTGACTTTCCATAGTAAAGTGTTGAACCACAATAAACCGAATCAAAAGGAACGCTTGGCAGCAATTTTTTTTAATTAAAATTGACACTTTGTAAATGCTCAAATTGCTGTTTGGGTGACAATAAAAAATGCAACAACAACAACACTTGGCATTGTTTATTAATTTTGATAAAAATAAAAATAAATATTTTTGCATTGATCCAGTTAGAAAAACAAAGTGCACAACAATAGCTTACATAGACACACACACACACACAAGTGTGAATTTTGACGAATTAGAGATTTCGTATTAAATATAACGATATTCGATATTGTATGTTCGATACGAATATTTGTAACATTGAACAGCCAGTTGCCTGGCAAGTTCAAATCGATTGCTATACAAAAATTGCACAATTATGATGAACGGTTAGTTGGCTAGCTGGCAGATTGCTTCGCTGTCCGGCCGGCCATTGGCCACTGGTCAAAGGAATCGAAATGAAACATAATGACATGACTAGCAATAATAAACGAAATCAAATGAAATAATGTAAAATAATCACCCAAACAATTTCAAACGCTTTGAAGTAAATGACAGTTGTAAATTGGCCATGGTGGGGTTGGTTCGTAACTCAGAGCACAGGTTGGCATGCAAAGAAACAAAGAAAACATCAGTTTAATGACTCTCCAAGGCAATTGAAGTGTTAGAAGAAAGAAATATCATTTTATATCAATTAAATCAAGGTCTGAGAGGAAAAAGGATGAGTCTTTCTTCGCGAAAATTTATGGAAAACCATGGTGTATTGTTGTGGCGGCTTTGTAAGATTTAAAAACTAATAATTGCTATCCTAACCAATAATTATTTTCTTTTCTTTTTAACCGCATTTGTAACAATTTTCTTTTTGTATTTCTTATTTTCCTTCTTCTTCTACGATTATGGTCTAAACTCGCATTTGTAGGGTCTTGAATTGAGAACCTCTGAATTGGAACCGATTTTAGCGTCCTTGTCCAAACCTCATGCCGATGCCATCAAACAAAGAGTTCGTACACTCAATCAAACGGTACGAGGTCGTACCAAGAATCGCCAGAAACGTAAACCCGATATCAGAGATGTTTTTCGAGACTTTGATGTAAGTTGTTGTTGTTTTAATTTTTGTAATTCTTGGTTGTTATTTGGTAGTTTTGTGGGCGTAATTGAAATTTTGGAATATGTTTTTTTTTAAAGAATATTTGAGTTTTAATGTAATATATACAATTTTTGCAGGAATCAAGTACAGGTACGAGATCACGTAGTGCTACACCCGATTCATTGGATTCCATACAAGGTGATGAAGTCTGGGGCAATACATCCATGTAAGTAGAAAATCGTTTTTGTTTAATTTTGTGAATTTCGATATAGACGAGAATACTTGATTTATTATTAGGAAACTCAAAAAAATGTGCAAATTGTTTACCTAGGAAGAAGCGTGCCTAAAAGTAGAACACAATGTTCAAAATAACTGCTGAGAGGCTTTGGAAGGTTCACTAAAAAGTAATAGGTTTCTTATTGGAAACATTAAGTAGAAACTGTTTTTTATTGCCTTAAAATAGGCTTCAGGCTTTTAAAAGTAGAACTGATAAGCATTGGACTTCATAATCATGCTTTTCTGGAGAATATGTCGTCTATCAGAAAAATTATGTTAAAATACAGCCCTTTTTAGGGAAATTTTAAAAACCTCATATTAGGGACTAGGGACTTTTTAAGGAACATAAAATTGTGTTTTATTGTCTTTAAATAGGCTTCAAAGTTTTAAAAGTAGGAGCTGATGAGCATTGGGTTTCATAATTATGCTTTCCTGGAGAATATGTCCTCTATTTTGTGTGTATTCAACAGGACCATTGATACGTTTTGTGTCAACCGATGCAACATTTACCTAAACTCCAACGACATACAAATGCGAGCTATATCGAAATCTAAATCGATTTCATCAAAATTATATGCCCTGGGAGCCCTGGGGGAACGCACCCCCCCCCCTAAATGAATTTTTTTTTCACAGTAAATTTATGTTTGCAACAGCGAATTTTTTCATTTTGTACTACCGGGCGAGTACGCTATGCCAAATTTCGTACAAATCGAAAGATATAGAAGGACTTTGGTACACCATTTGCAGAAAATCGGACGAAACTATATATGGGAGCTATATCTAAATCTGAACCGATTTTCACGAAACTTAGCAAACACAACTCTAGACTTAACTCCGTAAGCTGTGCCAAATATCGTGAAAATCGAAAGATATATAAGGACTTTGGTACACCATTTACAGAAAATCGGACGAAACAATATATATGGGAGCTATATCTAAATCTGAACCGATTTTCACGAAATTTAGCACACATTATTCTAGACTTAATTTCGTACAATGTGTCAAATTTCGTGCAAATCGAAAGATATATAGGGACTTTGGTGCACCATTTACATAAAATCGGACGAAACTATATATGGGAGCTATATGTAAATCTGAACCGATTTTCGTGCAAATCGAAAGATATATAGGGACTTTGGAGCACCATTTACATAAAATCGGTCGAAACTATATATGGGAGCTATATGTAAATCTGAACCGATTTTCCCAATTTCAATAGGGTTCGTCCTTGTGCGAAATAAGTGACCTACGCCAACATTAATCCAAATCGGATCATAAATACCACCTGCACTTTATTTACAATTTAACATGGACAGACGGACGGACATGTATAAATCGACATAGAAAGTGATTTTATGCATATTCTCAAAAGGAACCATGTGTCTACCTCGTTTCCTTTTGCCTGTTACAAACATATGCACAAAGACATAATACCCTGTGGTGAAGAATATGTCGTCTATCAGAAAAATTATGTTAAAATACAGCCCTTTTTAGGGAAATTTTAAAAACCTCATATTAGGGACTAGGGACTTTTTAAGGAACATAAAATTGTGTTTTATTGTCTTTAAATAGGCTTCAAAGTTTTAAAAGTAGGAGCTGATGAGCATTGGGTTTCATAATTATGCTTTCCTGGAGAATATGTCCTCTATTTTGTGTGTATTCAACAGGACCATTGATACGTTTTGTGTCAACCGATGCAACATTTACCTAAACTCCAACGACATACAAATGCGAGCTATATCGAAATCTAAATCGATTTCATCAAAATTATATGCCCTGGGAGCCCTGGGGGAACGCACACCCCCCCCCCCCCCCCCTAAATGAATTTTTTTTCACAGTAAATTTATGTTTGCAACAGCGAATTTTTTCATTTTGTACTACCGGGCGAGTACGCTATGCCAAATTTCGTACAAATCGAAAGATATAGAAGGACTTTGGTACACCATTTGCAGAAAATCGGACGAAACTATATATGGGAGCTATATCTAAATCTGAACCGATTTTCACGAAACTTAGCAAACACAACTCTAGACTTAACTCCGTAAGCTGTGCCAAATATCGTGAAAATCGAAAGATATATAAGGACTTTGGTACACCATTTATAGAAAATCGGACGAAACAATATATATGGGAGCTATATCTAAATCTGAACCGATTTTCACGAAATTTAGCACACATTATTCTAGACTTAATTTCGTACAATGTGTCAAATTTCGTGCAAATCGAAAGATATATAGGGACTTTGGTGCACCATTTACATAAAATCGGACGAAACTATATATGGGAGCTATATGTAAATCTGAACCGATTTTCGTGCAAATCGAAAGATATATAGGGACTTTGGAGCACCATTTACATAAAATCGGTCGAAACTATATATGGGAGCTATATGTAAATCTGAACCGATTTTCCCAATTTCAATAGGGTTCGTCCTTGTGCGAAATAAGTGACCTACGCCAACATTAATCCAAATCGGATCATAAATACCACCTGCACTTTATTTACAATTTAACATGGACAGACGGACGGACATGTATAAATCGACATAGAAAGTGATTTTATGCATATTCTCAAAAGGAACCATGTGTCTACCTCGTTTCCTTTTGCCTGTTACAAACATATGCACAAAGACATAATACCCTGTGGTGAAGGGTATAAACACTGATTTTTTTTAAGTATTTCCATCAGGGCATAAATTAAAAAAAATAATCTAATTTTGTAAATAAATATCCTTTCAAGACCTATTTAAAAAAAAAAAATATTTTTTTTTTTTATTTTTTTTTATTCAAAAAATTTATTTTTTCATTCACGCCTCAATTTAAATTGAAATAATGTAGTATTTTTAAATCCACGCCTCAATGTAAATTGAAAACATGTATATTTTTTTAATGCAAGCCTTAACTTAAATTTAAATATTTTTTTTGTAAATACAAACCTTAAGATTAATTAAAAAATCACGCCTTAATTTTGTAAATCGCTGCCTTGTCTTAAGTTGTCATATCTTTCCAGAGGAGAGCCAACGGGTTTCTTCTGAAATATGAAGCTGTTCATTTCAGAACCATTTAAAGCCTTCCTATTTTTCAAATTTTATTCTCAAACAAATAAACAAACCCCAAAAATTTCATTTTCTCCTTTACAAACAATAATATTCTATGACGCCTAAAGGTATGCTTCAATAATAAGATACTTTCTCCATTAAAAGCGACACAAATTATATCTTGCCATCTCCACTTGACCATTCATTGACAAGTACTTCAAAATTGCCAATTATTTTATTTTTTCTATTTTAAATTTATATTTATTTTGGATTATTTATAAAAAGAAAATAATGTTTATTTCTTTGTCTCGTTTCTTTGGCAGACCAAGTTTTGTTAGTATCTTCGATCACAATGCGACACCAGATAATGGTAACGGTCATTCACCACTATTTTCGGGAAAAAGTCTTAAACAGAAATTACGTCGTACACCAAGTGCTCCGATAAAAGGTTCTACCGATATATTTCGTGGTAATCATGTACGCTGTGATATACCCATGTACTCGGCCGAGGGTATTGAACTATTGGGATTTTCGCGTATTGGTACCATACACATACCAAGGAATCGGAATCGTTCCGGTTCGGATCCATCATGTTCAGTGGGGTAAGTATAGGCAATACACAATATATGAACTATAAGAAAAATATACTAACGACCATTTTTTTTTTAATTTTCAGCCGTGCCCGAGGCGAAATGATGACCCAGGATTCTCAAAGTGATAACAACACATCGTCAAGTGATTCCAGTGATGAATGCCTTTCGAATCATCAAAGGTTATCGAATTCATCCACCCCGGAATCATCACCCCAAAAGATTTTGAATAAAATCCATTTAGATACACCGCCCCAGAGTGTACAGAATTCACCGTCATCGCGTGATGGTATTAGCTTTGAGAGTATGTGCCGTGAGACCTCTAGTCAAGATGGAGTGGTAAGTCCCACAATTCTGAATCTGTGGAATCCAAACTCATTTCTTTCGGTTCTTGAATTTCAGGATACTGTCGATAGCAGTGATTTATCATTGGAATTTTACTCCGACATTGATACCATAAATGAAACCGAATTGAAGCGTTTACAACCTTTGTTCTGGTTGGAATTGGCTTCCATATTCGATCGCAATCACGTCCAATTGGATAAACGGAAACCCGTCAAACGACGCCGCAAGGAAGAAGGCAAACTGTTTGGTGTCTCCTTGAATGCTCTGATACGCCGTGATCAACAGATCACGGGTACAGATTCAACATTGGTGCCCTTGTTCTTGGAGGGTCTATTGGATGAATTGAGCAAACGCGGTGCCCGTGAAGAAGGTATTCTACGTGTCGCTGGACATAAACAAAAGGTAATTGTTGTGATCCCAAGTGACAGTTGTTAATTGGAGTTAATTTTCGTCTTTCTCTTCCAGACTGAATTACTTTACCAGGAACTTGAATCGAGTTTCTATCAAAAACCAAAAAAATTCCAACAGCTGCTCAGTGCAGCCAGTGTCCACGATTTGAGCGCTCTGCTCAAACGTTGGCTACGTGAACTACCCCAACCCCTGCTCACCAATGAACTCATCCAGTTATTCTATCAGTGTCATGCCCTCCCGCCCACAGATCAAGCCAAAGCATTGGCGATTATTTGCCAAATGTTGCCACACGAGAATCGCAACACACTGCGTTGCCTGCTGCGTTTCCTCAACTATGTGATCGATCAAAAGGAAATGAATAAAATGAATTTGCATAATGTTGCCACAATTATTGCACCATCATTCTTTCCACCACGATTTGTTCATCCGATCGATAAGAATAGCATAGAGGATCAGGTGAAAATGGCAGCACAATGTTGCCGCCTCACAAATGTGCTGATAACGCGAGGCGAATCACTATTTCAAGTGCCAAATAATCTGATAGAAGAATCCAAAGCATCGAATAAACGGCAGGTGAGTAAAGTTTGGAATTTGAATGTAAAATCTAAAGGGAATTGTTGAGATAAGGAAGTTCTGATCAGCGTTTTTTATACTCACAAAGAAACGTGTAAAAATTTGGAATCGATTGGGTTATTAGTTTTTGAGTTATCGTGCCCGCCATTCGCAAAAGAGAAAAACGCGTTTAAAGTTTGAGAAGCCCTTTAGCCGTTACATGATGCTGACACAATAAATCGGCTATATTTTCAAGAGTTCTTGAGATTTTCACTTGAAATTTTGTAGGGACATTCTTGATTTAGTGTAGATTCGAATTAAGTCAAAAAAATTTTGACCTCGAGAATGGGGGTCCCCTTAGACTTCCAAATTAAATATATAATGGTGTGTGTCAATATATATTTCCCTATTGTAAACACCCAAGGTGATGTGGGATATCATACAGTCGATCTGGTCCGACTTTAGTTCTTTTCTTAGTTCTCTTCTTATATATTTTTTTATTTATCACTTTTTCTAATTTTTGTATAAATTTTAATTGAGTTTCTCTTTTTTTTTCTTTTTCAGGGCAAACGTGGTCTACATCGACGGGTAAAGGCTACCACATCCCTGCTGCATGTGAGCAGTTCTCCCATCAGTAATAATAATAACAATAACAACAACAGTAGTAATAACAATAACAACAATAATAATATTCATCATCACAACAATACCACCAGTACCACCATCTCGATCGGTGAGAATGGTAGTATGGTCGCACGTCAACAGTCAATTAATCCAAGTCATGTACATCGTTTAATTATTTAAAAAAAATACAAACATTAAAAAAAAATAATAATTATAATAATAATAAAAACCACAACGGACCAAAGAGTCAGAATTCTTCCATTAAAAAAATTCTATTAAAAAAACATAAAAAAACAATTTAACTTGCGATCAAAAACTCATTGATAATTTATATTAAAATTAAAACAAAAAAGGTGTCTAATCAATTAAAAAAATTATATGTCATTTGAAAATATATAAAATTATATACATATATTTGTAATGTTACATGCAAGAAAAAAATTAAAAGCTAAATTGTGTGCATAGTTTATTTTAGTAGAGCTATATATATTTTTTATATATAAAAATTATAATATAAAAACACACTCAAATATCATTATTTCATATATAAATAATATTAAATTTTTTCTCTATTAGAAATCATCGATATATCAATTTAGTTATGTGTATTATAATATATTTTTATAGTTTAAGTTTTAAAATTTCTTTTATTTTTTATTTTGTTTTTCTTTTTCTCTTTTTCTCTTTTTAGCTTTGTAAGTTTAATTGTTTACTAGAACAAATGAAATGTTGCATCAAAGTTAATTATGTCTAATAAGTTTAATTTTTCTTCTTCTTTTTTCTATGTAACATTTTTTGTTTGTAGTTTAACTTTTAGCTTTATTTAATTTTTAAGAAATGTTTAGTCACATCTGAAAGCAATACAGTTTTTGTTTTTGTTTTGATCTACATTTCAAATTTTCGTTTGGCTTTAATTGATAATATCTAAAAAATTCATTTATTCGAAATATTGTTGCCTTCTACTTTTTTTTTTTGGAAAATATAACCTACACCACTACATGGAAAATACCAATTTTTCTTATTCTGAGAAAATTACTTTATTGTATAATAAATTTCTTTATATAAAAAATATTTTCGGAACATAAATTTTTCTATAAAATGCAGTAGTAGTGGTATAGGTTGTTAATACATGGCCTCACATGCAATATTCATTTTCATTATAATTTTTATTTTCATATTTTTTTATTTTTACATTTTATTTCATAGATGTAACACACAATATATATCCAAATTTCATCCTCTTCCCATTCTCACAAAAAATACGATCAAAATTGTCTTGGAAAATTTTGTTTCCTTTAATTAACTTTTAAAACTTACAAATCTTTGATAAATATTCATTTTCAAATTGCAATATGAACGCATTTTTATATATGCGTTCGAAAAAAAAATCTATTCGAAATTTTATTTCGTTTACATCTATACATGCTTTTTATATTCGAAATTTTATTTCGTTTACATCTATACATTTTTGGCTTTATTTTCATATTTGTATTTTTTTTCATATAAGTTCTCTCTGTGTATTATATAATTAATGCTATATATAAACCAATTATTCTAGTTTTCTTAATGTTTTATTTAGTCTTATATTCTTTTATAAGTTTATAATGCGATTGCTTGTTCTATGGCAACGATATATTTAGTAGTTAAGAAACAGAAAAAAATATATAAAAGTAATATTTAGTATTTTTTTGCTTAGTTATATTTTGAATAATATAAGAACAACAACAATAAGATGAAAAAAAAACAACAAATATAAAGTGTGTACATCTAGTAATTTGTGTCTTTGTGTACATCAGGAATGTTAAACCAATAAAAATTACATATATGATATTTTTTATAAATATACTTGTGTTTTATTTATTAAAACTCCAAAATCGGTCCTAGAACTGATTTTTTGTATACATATCATCTTAAAATGAAGTTATATATGGATATTTATTTGAATTGTAAGAAATACAATATTTTCACCTTTCATATGAAATCTATTTCATAAAAATATCTTTGGTAGTTCAAACGATATGAACAATCTAAAATATATATGATTTTTTCGCAGCTTGGCATCTACAGCGCCATCTATTGATTGACGTTATCCAAATAGGCCAAAGCAAAAAATTAACGAAATTTTCTTTTTGCTATAACTTTTGAACTATAAAAGATATTTTTTGACATGGGCACCATATGAAAGGTAGAAATATAACCTTAATAAACTTTAATTTAAATTAAAACCTGTAAGGAAATTTGTAAAGTCGGACGGGACCGACTATATGATACCCTTCACCACTTTGGGTATATTCAACAGATGAATCTTAAGAGACGTCGCATTTTTGAACGATCAGTAAAATGAAATTGGACCCATAAACATATCTTTTTGCAACCTATACTAAATTTTTCATTTGGTCATATATAGAGTTGCTTCTTACAATGGGACAAAATTTCGTAAATCAATTTAAAGCATATATCAGTCGGACACCCGTTGATTATTTAGATACATATCTGATAAACATGAGGAGTTTGGTGCACCATTTACTTCAAATCGGACGAAAATATTTATAAAAGCTATATCGAAATCTAAGCAGATTTCATCGAAACTTGTCACAGAATATCGGCCACATTTTGAGTTCTTGGTGCATCATGTAGTTAAAATCGGGAGAAAATATGGTAGCTTTATCCAAATTTGAATCGATTACTTAAAATCTGACGAAACTATATATAGGAACTTTATCTAAATCTGAACTAATTTTATTATTATTATCTCATAATAACTTCTATAAGTTGTGCCAATCAAACCCACCTAGGGAATTCGGTGCAGCATGTATATCTAACTTATAGGTTATACTAAGTTCATGACGAAAGATATATAGGGACTCTGATGCACCATTTACCTAAAATCGGACGAATATATATTGGAACTATATCTAAATCTTAACCGATTTTCACGAAACTTAACACACATCATTGTAGACTTTATTCAGTACGCTGTACCATATTTCGTGGAAATCGAAAGATATATAGGGACTTTGGTACACCATTTTCATTAAATCGGACGAAAATATATATGGGAGCTATATCTAAATCTAAACCGATTTTTAGGAAACTTAACACACATCATTCTAGACCGAATTCATTATGCTGTGCAAATTTCGTGCAAATCGAAAGATATATAGGGACTCTGGTGCACCATTTACCTAAAATCGGACGAAAATATAAATGGGTGCTATATCTAAACCGGAACCGATTTTCACGAAACTTAGCACACATCATTCTAGACTATGTTCAGTATGCTATACCAAATCTCGTGCAAATCAAAAGATATTTAGGGACATTGGTGCACCATTTACCTTAAATCGGACGAAAATATATATGGGAGCTATATATAAATCTGAACCGATTTTCATGAATCTTAGCACACATCATTCTAGGCCTAATTCAATACGTTGTGCCAAATTTCGTGCAAATCGCAAGATTTTTAGGGACTTTGGTGCACCATTAACCTTAAATCGGACGAAAATATATATGGGAGCTATATCTAAATCTGAACCGATTTTTCCCAATTTCAATAGGGTTCGTCCTTGGGCCAAATAAGTGACGTATGCCAAATTTCATCCAATTCGGATTATAAATGCGACCTGTACTTTGTTCAAAATTTAACATGGACAGACAGACGGATGGACATGCATAAATCGTCTTAAAAAGTGATTCTATGCATATTCTCAAAAGAAACCATGTGTCTATCTCGTTTCCTTTTGTCTGTTACAAACATATGCACAAAGACATAATACCCTGTACCACAGTGTGGTGAAGGGTATAAAAAATCGAATTTCTCTTGTTGTTTGTGAAAATATTTATATGGATTAAAGGAAAGATCGTATTTCTACCCTTCATTTTAACATGGCAAAAATTAAGTTTTATTATGGCAAAAAGAAAATAGCATTAAATTGTTGCATTTTTCAATTTGAATCATGTCAACCAATAGATGGCGCTGGCGACGGACCATTGGCAAATTGCACAAAATTCACACATATTTCATGATCAATTTCCATAACCTATAATTGAAAAAAAAAACCTTTAATCAAATGTTGGTCCTACGAAACATGGGATCTAAAAACCTAATCTTTAGTCCTGACTTACATTAGGCGAGTTTACTTGCGGCAATTCTTATCGTTCTCTTTTGAACATGCTTCATGCGTCTATACAAGGCAATTCTGTTTCAAAAATATTTTTATTTACATTTTGGGCATTTTTTTATTTTCGAAAATATTCTGGATTGGTATTTAAAATTATTGACACTACAAACAAAATACACAAAACTAATTGCCAGAAAATTATTGGTACGAGCAATTTTTTTCCATTTCTATTCCTCTCTCCTGCAAACAAAGACTTGCCGAAAGTAAACTCGCCTAATCTAAATTTGGACTTATAAACCTAATTAAAAAATATCTTATTTTTATTATAATCAACTATTTCTAAAATGTTTATTTATTTCACAAGAAACTATACGATACACCTTTCGTATGACACCACTTTCATTTGAACACCAGCCGTAGGAAAAAAGTTAGAGCAAAAAGAAATGAGGCATGCAATTCTTATAAAGCCCTGTCGTCAGCGCCATCTATTGATGGGCAAATCATGCAAAGCAGTTTTTTAAGATCAACTTTACAGGCGTATAACTTTTGTACAGATAATCGGATTTCAACGAAGTCGCATATCCACGAAAGTGGTGTCATATGAAAGCCAAAATATTACGAGAGAAATTAATTAATCACTTTTGCCATCACTTGGTGGTAATAAATCGGCTATATCTTCAAGAGTTGTTGGGATTTTCACTTAAAATTTTATAGGGTCATTATTTAATTGGTTTAACCTATACCAATCAAAAAAACAAGAAAAGAAAACTTCAATGCCACATTTAATTTTTTTATACCCTCCACCGTAGTATGGAGGCTTTATCGGTCCACGTCACCCCTTCTTAGTAGTAGTCCCCATATAACCCCCTTTTATATATAAACATATGTATCAGATTTGTTCCGTGTGTTGGGGTTGGGTAATCGTTACGGCGAATAGTCAATTTTTACCCCACAAAGACTATTTAGCCACCTGTTGTAAGCATTCCGCCTTCTAAAGATATTGTGATAAAAGAAAACTCAAACATGATAATAATGAAATATATCGGCTGACATTTAGGCATCTTCTCGATATAGTGATACCTCCTGAAGGAAAGAATTGAGATAAACAATTAAAATGTTCGGTTTAATATTGGCATATACCGGTCATTAATTAGGCATAGCCCTCATATAATGATATCCCCAAATATTCACTATTTCCTACACTATGTAATCAAAATTGGCCCCCCGTTAGGCACAGCCCCATATAAATTTATAATCTAAATTACAGTAGTTTGAGGATTTTATACTCTACCATGCGTTATCAGTATCAGTCCACTTTATGGATCTTACAGATTTTAGGAGAAATCCCCATTAATAATTGCTGAAGTTTGTATTTGGTGTACATAATGGTTTACATAAATCGGTTTGTAGAATTATCGGTATATGTCCACTTTTTGGTATGTTCCTATATTTTCATTGCATGTATCTGTCAGTATAACTATGGTGGAGGGTATCCAAAGTTCGGCCCGGCCGAACTTAACGCTTTTTCACTTGTTCAATTTAGGCCTTACGCTAGTGAGAGTACGACAAAAATGT